TAGATCTAGATCCAGATTATCTACTAGAGTTTTTACGGGACGTTAGTCCTTGATCTAGGGCCTTGGGAAACATATCTTATAACCATGCCCGCGTGATCAGACCAATGTCGCGGTTACAAGAGACTTGGCAATGGACATCCCCTGCTTGTCAGGATTTTGGGGCCGAGGTGAAAAGGCATGGCGCGGTCCCACGGACTTCTGTCACTCATATAGGCCTACAATCAAAAAAGTCTTTCACTGATTGCTCATATGATCGGAACAAACAAAAAACTAACCATGTTTTATTTGTATTATCCTGGAAGTCCTCCTCCAGCCGTCTACGATCTGTTCAAATTCTCTAAGTGAGTTACTTCCTTCCTCTGCCCATTTGATTCATTTAGTGGTTATATGTAAATATGTTCAGTCAAACCTCGTTGTGCCTCCCTCTCCCCTCGTTGTACCGCCAGCCCCGCATACCGCCAGGTTTGGCCAATGTAGGAAAAGAATCCGCTGTATATAAACTTAGTATTCGCGCCTCACACCGCCATCCATCAACTGTCGCAGTAGCACGGTCCTTGTTAAACTACTGTAGATTTACCCCGTTGCACCGCTAGCGAACAGGCTTTAAGATGCACACAGTATACAATAGGCTACACACTGCGCACGGCACATACACTCGGAGGTTGTTTGACAATCATGTACACTCAAATCTCTACGAGCTAGGCCTAGGTTTAGTTTTAACGCATTTTTCCGATTTGTTCACTTCCCTCTCATCACACTTCCCTAACCCTGTCTCGTAGATTTCAGGCAATACGGAAGGCTTTTCAGTGACGTAGGGTGTCAGAAGAGTAAAATTAAAGTAAAACATAACTAGATCTATGTCATTCAGTATCGAATTCCGCTGTACCGCCAGCTCAGCAGTACCTGTATTTTCATGCTCGTCCTAAGGTAGGCGGCACAGTATGACAATGACAATGACAATGACAATGACAATGACAATCTTTATTCATCTCGCAGGGAGAAATTTGTCTTGGTCGTTAACAATGGCAGTAGAC